TGTACGTGTGTGTGTGTACGTGTGTGTGTGTACGTGTGTGTGTGTACGTGTGTGTGTGTACGTGTGTGTGTGTACGTGTGTGTGTGTACGTGTGTGTGTGTCGTGTGTGTGTGTACGTGTGTGTGTGTCGTGTGTGTGTGTGCGTGTGTGTGTGTGACGTGTGTGTGTGTCGTGTGTGTGTGTGTGGTGTGCGTGTGTGTGTGTGCGTGTGTGTGTGTGCGTGTGTGTGTGTGCGTGTGTGTGTGTCGTGTGTGTGTGTGTGGTGTTGTGTGTGTGTGGTGTGTGTGTGTGTGCGTGGTGTGTGTTGTGTCGTGTGTGTGTGTGACGTGTGTGTGTGTGCGTGTGTGTGTGTGCGTGTGTGTGTGTGCGTGTGTGTGTGTGTGTGTGTGTGTGTGCGTGTGTGTGTGTGCGTGTGTGTGTGTGCGTGTGTGTGTGTACGTGTGTGTGTGTACGTGTGTGTGTGTACGTGGTGTGTGTACGTGTGTGTGTGTACGTGTGTGTGTGTACGTGTGTGTGTGTACGTGTGTGTGTGTACGTGTGTGTGTACGTGTGTGTGTGTACGTGTGTTGTGTGTACGTGTGTGTACGTGTGTGTGTGTACACGTGTGTGTGTGTACGTGTGTGTGTACACGTGTGTGTGTGTGTGTGTACACATGTACTCACCTAGTTGTACTCACCTAGTTGAGGTTGCGGGGTTCGAGTCCGAGCTCCTGGCCCCACCTCTTCACTGATCGCTACTAGGTACGTGTGTGTACGTGTGTACATGTGTATACGTGTGTGCGTGTACGTGTGTACGTTGTGTGCGCGCGTGTACGTGTGTACGTGTGCGCATGTACGTGTGTACGTGTATACATGTGTACATACCTGTGTACGTACCTGTGCGTACGTGTACGTATACACAGTGGAACCTCAAGTTTCAGCCGTAATCCGTTCCAGAAGCTCAAATTGTTCAAAAGTCAAAGCAATGTTTCCCATAAGAAATAATGTAAATCCAGTTAATCCATTCCAGACATCCAAAAATATTCACAAAAAATTCATTTTAAAGAAGAAATATAGTTTTACATACAGAAAACAGTGAGAAATATAAATAAATATAAACATTACCTACCTTTATTGAAAAGACTTACTGGCTTATGGAAGACAGGAAGGGGAATTTGTTTGGAAACAGGACAAGATACTCCTTCAATATGATGCTAATATCAACTTAACAGTTTATTTATCTATCATAATTGATCTAATATGACATAATAAACAATATTAAAACCATAGAAACATGATATATACTCTGGAATGAATAAAATATGTCATTACGTATGTTGAGTGGTGGTGGTGTTGGGTTTATAAGGGCCACTGACAGCATAAGGCTTACATATAGTGGTGGCAGTGGCAGCGGTGTTGTCAGTGGCCCTACACACCTCCAATAACATTAGAGGAGTTAGTTTCATGTCCATTTTCTATCGCTTAATCACTTAACTTATTTGCTACACTGTTAATGCTGCACTTTATCACTGGCTGTCACTATAGCCTTTATTGACTCCTGCTGCTTTAGTATCGTACATATTGTAGAATCGCTAGAGGCACATTCTTCCGTCTCTCTTCCTCCTCCACTTTCATACTTTGCTACAATTTCTTTCTTCAATTTTATTGTGTTTCTCACTTTCTTTACCAAACGCCTGGTACTAGAAAGTTTCTTTAGGCCCATGGTTAATTATGTAGCAGTTGCACTCAATCAACAAGCACAATAAACAATGGATTATTGTGAAATGTTTGGATGAAAGTGCAGGGTAATGTTCACTCGAGGAGAAACAAAGCCAGACTGACCCACAACGCATGCATGGGATGCTTTGTGTGGGCACTGGCAGGCGAACAGGTCTGGTACGGCGGCCGAAACTCGAGGTAATGTTCGAAATTCGAGACAAAATATAACCGAAAAAAGTGATCGAAACTCAAAACGGCTAAAACTTGGGGTGGCCAAAACTCGAGGTTCCACTGTATATAATGTAATACATACTGCGTGTATTTCATTTTGCTAATGCACTACAAAGTAATGATACAATATATTTTTTATCTTGTGGCTGACGTTTAGGGTTTGGACTTGCTGCTAGCATTCCAGTCAAGATGAATACAGTGGACCCCCGGTATTCGATATTAATCCGTTCCTGAGAGCTCATCGAATACCGATAATATCGAAAATCGAATCAATTTTCCTCATAAGAAATAATGGGAATCAAATTAATCCGTGCAAGACACCCAAAAGTATGAAAAAAAACAAATTTTTACTACATGAAATATTAAGTTTAATGCAATAGAATAATTACAATAACAATAAAATAATTGACACTTACCTTTAATGAAGATCTGGTGATGATTGATGGGATGGGAGGAGGGGAGAGGTGTTAGTGTTTAGAATGGGAATCCCCTTCCATTAAGGCTTGAGGTAGCAAGTCCTTTTCCTGGGTTACTTCCCTTCTTCTTTTAATGCCACTTGGACCAGCTTCAGAGTCACTGGATTTCTGTCGCACAACATAGTGGCCTCTACCTCCCGTTCCTTTATGACATTCCTAAAGTGTTTCACAACATTGTTAGTGTAATAGTCACCAGCATGGCTTGCAATAGCTGTGTTAGGGTGATTGTCATCAAAAAAGGTTTGCACTTTAAGCCACATTGCACACATTTCCTTAATCTTTGAAGTAGGCAACTTCTTCAATTTCTCTATCCCCCCCCCCTTCCCCGAAGCAGTTTCCTCAAGTGTGGCCTCTTGCTGTTGAAGATGATCTAGCAGCTCTTCAGTGGTTAGTTCTTCATTGTCCTCCTCCACGAACTCTTCCACATCCTCCCCACTAACCTCCAACCCCAAGGACTTCCCCAATGCCACAATGGATTCCTCAACTAGCATAGGATTCTCAGGGTTAGCCTCAAATCCTTTAAAATCCCTTTTGTCTACACATTCTGGCCACATTTTTTTCCAAGCAGAGTTCAAGGTCCTCTTAGTCACTCCCTCCCAAGCCGTACCTATAAGGTTTATACAATTGAGGATATTAAAGTGATCCTTCCGAAACTCTAAAAGTCAGTTGAGTTTCTGTGGTCACTACAAAGCACTTTTGAAACATAGCTTTTGTATACAGTTTCTTGAAGTTGGAAATGACCTGCTGGTCCATAGGCTGCAGGAGAGGAGTGGTATTAGGAGGCAAAAACTTCACCTTAATGAAGCTCGTGTCCCCAGAAAGTCGCTCTGCCAAGTCTGTAGGATAACCAGGGGCATTGTCTAATACCAGGAGGCACTTAAGGCCTAATTTCTTTTCAGTTAGGTAATTTTGCACAGTGGGGGCAAATGCTTGGTGTAACCAGTCATAGAAAAAGTCCCTAGTGACCCATTGCATACCGTTTGCCCTCCACAGCACACAGAAATTAGCCTTGAGGACATTGTTTTTCCTGAACACTCTGGGAGTTTCAGTGATACACCAATAAAGGCTTCACTTTGCAATCACCACTGGCATTGGCACACATGAGAAGAGTAAGCCTGTCTTTCATAGGCTTATGTCCTGGGAGTGCCTTTTCCTCCTGAGTAATGTAGGTCCTGCTTGGCATTTTCTTCCAAAACAGGCCTGTTTCGTCGCAATTAAACACTTGTTCAGGTTTCAGTCCTTCACTGTGTATGTAATCCTTGAATTCCTTCACATATTTTTCAGCTGCTTTTTGGTCCGAACTGGCAGCCTCACCATGCCTAATCACACTATGTATGCCACTACGATTCTTAAATCTTTCAAACCAACCTTTGCTGGCCTTAAATTCACTCGCATCACCACTAGTTGCAGGCAATTTCTTTACCAAATCGTCATGCAACTGCCTAGCCTTTTCACAAATGATCGCTTGAGAGATGCTATCTGTTTTTCATTTATCCGCACCAATAACAATCTCTCAACATTTTCTAACACTTGCGGTCGCTGTTTCGTAATCACAGTTGCACCTTTTGCAAGAACAGCTTCCTTGATTGCCGTTTTCCTGGTCACTTTAGTAGAGATGGTTGATTGGGGTTTATTATACAACCTAACCAGCTCCGACACACGCACTCCACTTTCGTACTTTGCAATTATCTTTCTTCATTTCATAAGCCATTAGCGACTTTTTTCTCAAAGGGTTGGCACTAGAAGCTTTCTTGGGGCCCATGGTGACTTATTTTGCAGAAACAAGCACCAAAAACAGTGATAATATGGATAATATGGAATGTACCAAATGTATCCTTAGATGCGCGCACACTGGCTGGCTTGTAAACACTGGCATACACGGGGCAGTTCAGGCCACACGTGGACACGTCTTGTACGAATTGTATCCAATACCGGGTTTTCAATCGAATACCGAGGAAATTTTTTTGCGATATATTGCATCGAATACCGATGCCATCGAATACCGGGGGTCCACTGTATTTAGATTTATGGTAAATGTACCCCAGACTTACTGTGCCAACAATTCCTTATACATGCTGATTGAAGGTGTTAACCTTTGCATGCTAATCCTTCGAAGGAACTCTAGTGCTGCAAAGGCCAGAACCTTCAGTCCAACTTGTTGAGGGAACTGGTGTGATCTGGGTAACCAGATCAAACTTGACATATCATAATAGATACAGAAATATTTGTGCATTATGTAGAGCATGTACAGCAAGTTAGGCTACGTTAACCCCACGTATGACCATTATTCTTTCTCATAGCAGCGTACTGAAAGTTTTGGCCCCTTGATATTAAGGTTGATTTGTTATTACTAATATAATGTAGGAATTTAGTGATTCAACTGAAGCGGTTTCTTTTCTACTAGACTCTTGCACACCGTCCCATTCCTCTGTTTTGTGTTATTCATTCGTGGCATTCATTTATCACTTCCTCTCTTTAGACTTTGCTTCAGACACTGAACATCTCTCCTGCATATTTCTAAATATAAAAGTTTGTCTACTTGTGTGAATTCAAATTCATCTTAACATTTACACTGAATAATGTAGCCTTTTAAAATTCTTACAGTTTGTGATGTTTTACAGATTGATCATCATGCTGGTTAGAAGACTCGCAACATTGTCCTTGTTGGCATCAATCAACAAAATTGCTCCTGCTTGAATAGTCTATCTTTTTACCCTCTTCTTTCTTTGGGCCTGTATATAGAAATTTACTTGTAAATAATCTTCTTCTGATTGGTTTTGCATACCATTTTCAATACATATTGCATTCTTCTATAAATTTCTTTGAAAAATTTAGTAAACGCTAGTCAACATGGATGATTCAAGGACCATCGAGCCACCAAGTGGAGCATTTGGCATTCCTAAATGGATAATGAAAAAAGGAATGAGGTATGTTATTCTGAACTTAATGTATGTATTAATATGGTTATCTTTAAATTATTATTTAAGGTGTAAGTTAAATGATGGTTTTTAATGCTTTTACATTCATGCTTGATGACATTCATCAGAATGCCTTAATGCTGGTGAAGGGTTCATAATTCAAGGAACTGGAGCTACCCCCTTCCTTGAATCAAAAGTTATTACCTTCCATTCCAAAGGTACTGTATGGACCTGCATGTTTAGCACTTAACCATGCATGTATTCTGTAATATGCAAAAATTAGGGAAAAGTGGTAAATCTGTAAGTTGTATGGTGCCTGGACAGTCTGAAGTGACTGATGCTTCATTCATTGGGGTTTGAGGTTATTTCAAGTGCTCTCATTACTACAGTAATATCCCTCAGACCATACCTATGCCAAGAGTTTTTCCTCTTGTTAAGAGGAAAAATTCCTGAGGATATGAATGACTAGGAGACAAACAGAAGTGTTAAATATATTGTATCACCAGGGACATCAGTAAAAAGTTCTTTATCTCTAAATTGCTTGAAACCCTTGAATTGCACAAATTTATTTCTTTTCAGGGAACTAAGGTAACATGGTTTTAGAAAAGCTACAAGATGCATTTTCAGTAAGCTTGAAAACACACAATTGTCTTAGATGTTGTGTAAAATGTCACAGCTTGCCTGCAGGTATTACTCAAGCCTTTAATAACTTTTAAATAACTTTTTTTCATATGATGGGGTACATTTTCTACTTCATTGATAATAAAATTATTTTTGCTTATAATGTGGTTGGAGATAGGTTTTGATCTTTATTTTTTTTTTTTTTTTATTAACACACTGGCCGATTCCTACCAAGGCAGGGTGGCCCGAAAAAGAAAAACTTTCACCATGATTCACTCCATCACTGTCTTGCCAGAAGGGGTGTTTTACACTACAGTTTTTAAACTGCAACATTAACACCCCTCCTTCAGAGTGCAGACACTGTACTTCCCATCTCCAGGACTCAAGTCCGGCCTGCCGGTTTCCCTGAACCCCCTTCATAAATGTTACTTTGCTCACACTCCAACAGCACGTCAAGTATTAAAAACCATTTGTCTCCATTCACTCCTATCAAACACTCTCACGCATGCCCGCTGGAAGTCCAAGCCCCTCGCACACAAAACCTCCTTTACCCCCTCCCTCCAACCTTTCCTAGGCCGATCCCTACCCTGCCTTCCTTCCGCTACAGACTGATACACTCTTGAAGTCATTCTGTTTCGCTCCATTCTCTCTACATGCCCGAACCACCTCAACAACCCTTCCTCAGCCCTCTGGACAACAGTTTTGGTAATCCCGCACCTCCTCCTAACTTCCAAACTACGAATTCTCTGCATTATATTCACACCACACATTGCCCTCAGACATGACATCTCCACTGCCTCCAGCCTTCTCCTCGCTGCAACATTAATCACCCATTCTTCACACCCATATAAGAGCGTTGGTAAAACTATACTCTCATACATTCCCCTCTTTGCCTCCAAGGACAAAGTTCTTTGACTCCACAGACTCCTAAGTGCACCACTCACCCTTTTCCCCTCATCAATTCTATGATTCACCTCATCTTTCATAGATCCATCCGCTGACACGTCCACTCCCAAATATCTGAATACATTCACCTCCTCCATACTTTCTCCCTCCAATCTGATATCCAATCTTTCATCACCTAATCTTTTTGTTATCCTCATAACCTTACTCTTTCCTGTATTCACTTTTAATTTTCTTCTACATACCCTACCAGATTCATCCACCAACCTCTGCAACTTCTCTTCAGAATCTCTCAAGAGCACAGTGTCATCAGCAAAGAGTAACTGTGACAACTCCCACTCTGTGTGATTCTTTATCTTTATATGCTCTTATATGCTTTATATGTTCTAGGAAAATTAAGGCACATGAAATAGGAGGATAAATTTTTTCCTGGATAGAGGCATGGTTGACAAATAGGCAGCAGAGAGTTTGCATAAATGGGGAGAAATCAGAGTGGGGAAGCGTCACGAGCGGTGTTCCACAGGGGTCAGTGTTGGGCCCCCTGCTGTTCACAATATACATAAACGACATAGATGAGGGCATAAAGAGCGACATCAGCAAGTTTGTCGATGACATCAAAATAGGCCGTCGAATTCATTCTGACGAGGACATTAGAGCACTCCATGAAGATTTGAATAGACTGATGCAGTGGTCGGAGAGGTGGCAGGTGCAGTTTAATATAGACAAATGCGAAGTTCTAAATGTTGGACAGGACAATAACCATGCCACATATAAACTAAATAATGTAGATCTTAATATTACGGATTGCGAAAAAGATTTAGGAGTTCTGTTTAGCAGTAATCTGAAACCAAGACAACAGTGCATAAGTGTTCGCAATAAAGCTAATAGAATCCTTGGCTTCATATCAAGAAGCATAAATAATAGGAGTCCTCAGGTTGTTCTTTAACTCTATACATCCTTGGTTAGGCCTCATTTAGATTATGCTGCACAGTTTTGGTCACCATATTACAGAATGGATATAAATTCTCTGGAAAATGTACAAAGGAGGATGACAAAGTTGATCCCATGTATCAGAAACCTTCCCTATGAGGATAGACTAAGGGCCCTGAATCTGCACACTCTAGAAAGACGTAGAATTAGGGGGGATATGATTGAGGTGTATAAATGGAAGACAGGAATAAATAAAGGGGATGTAAATAGTGTGCTGAAAATATCTAGCCTAGACAGGACTCGCAGCAATGGTTTTAAGTTAGAAAAATGCAGATTCAGGAAGGATATAGGAAAGTACTGGTTTGGTAATAGAGTTGTGGATGAGTGGAACAAACTCCCAAGTACAGTTATAGAGGCCAGAATGCTGTGTAGCTTTAAAAATAGATTGGATAAATACATGAGTGGGTGTGGGTGGGTGTGAGTTGGACCTGATCAGCTTGTGCTACCAGGACGGTTGCCGTGTTCCTCCCTTAAGTCAAGGTGACCTGACCTGACTAGGTTGGGTGCATTGGCTTAAGCCGGTAGGAGACTTGGACCTGCCTCGCATGGGCCAGTAGGCCTGCTGCAGTGTTCCTTCGTTCTTATGTTCTTATGTTCTTATATTTACCATGGGAAAGTGGAGAAAAATATTTCCTCTGTAAGTTGTGTGTCGTAAAAAGCAACTAAAATGCTAGGAGCAGGGGGCTAGTAACCCTCTTCTCCTGTGTAAAAGCTATAGTGTTCTTCTTTTTTGGGTCACCCTGCCTTGGTGAGAGGCAGTCAGTATGTTGAAAAGAAAAAAATATTTACCAAATTTGCAGGACTGAAATAATTGAAAATTTTAGTGGGTAACAGATTGGTTTTTTCCATTATCAGTAATTTAAAAAGGTTTCTGTTCTACAGAAGAGTACAAAAGCTTTAACACTCAATTACTGCTGCCAAGGTATTAACCCTTTCACTGATCACACCCCTGAAGATAATAAATATTGAAAATAAATGGTATAAAATACCGACACAATCGAAACATAAACACACGTGCAGTTTAATGTGATCCTTTATTGACAACGTTGTCAATAAAGGATCACATTAAACTGCATGTGTGTTTGTTTCCATAATAAATATTGCTTTATTTTTTTATGGTAGATAATCTTTTTCTGGCGATAAAGTACAAAAATTGATGGAAAACTTATGGAATTATACAGGCATAAACTTAGCATTTACAGGACAATTTATTTATGGGCAATTTTTCTGAATTTGACTCCTATTTTCAGCCAGTTTTCTTGCTTCAGTCATTCAAATTCTTAGCAATTTTGCTAGTTTGCCTGCCATTCTATTGATTGAACACAAGAAACTACCCATTCAACTATTACAACTACAAAGAAACAGCCATAAAAAAATTAACAATCTAGAAAGTGCCTCAGTTGGTACTTTAAACCAAACACTAGTTCAGAGTTTTGTTTTTCCCCTTGTACTGCTTGTCTGTGCCAAAATTTGCTTCTCACAGCATATTTGAGGGAGCTGTGCTTAAATTGCAGGTTTGTGCGAGTGATGCTGGCATCACTTGGGGTGTGTAGTCTCCTAATTCACTCTTGTTTTGTCTTTTATATTTAGACCATCTAGACAACTCCTCCCTTTTTTTTTTGATGGTGGAACTCCTCTTAATGATCTAGATCAGAGAATAGTTCATTAAGTGAAAAATGTATTAAGGGTATTATTGTATTGTCTCAATGAAGTCCAAATAATTTTTTTAATCCTTTCACTGTCTTGCAAAGATCTACTTCGTTGATGACACTGTCATTCACATTGATCTAAGACTTCAGCACAGTGCCATCAAATATGCTGCGAGTGGTAAATTTTGGCCTAGAAATGAGAGAGCAGGTCTGTAATGAGTATTCTCAGTATAATAAAAATCCTGCCCCATGCAGTGCATGATTAGAAAAACAAATCTCTAGCCTTGTGTTTGGCTTAAAATAGTGACTGAGGTATTTTTTAGGTTTTTTTTTATGGCTTTATTGACTGTGTATCCGTTGATTGAACGGAAGACATAGATTACTAGTGAAAGATTTTTTTGGTGTGTTGCATGCCAGAAGTAGCTTGAAATAGGGTTCAAAGTGGCATGATTTCCCATGCCTTCCTTGGTTTTTCATGGGTTTTTATTAGGTTTGCTTCAGTTGGGATGGCCTGAACCATGACTAATCATAATTTTATTAATTTAAGAAATGAAACATTTTGCTTTAGTGGAATGCCTACAGCGTTTGTTTATTTTGAACTTTTTTGTCAAATTGGATTTTTTAATTGTGTACAATTTTCAAAATTGCCAATTTCTGTGGATATTAGTTTTGATGGTTGAAAGGGTCAAATTGGGCATTGGAATTGGCTTAACCCTTTGAGGGTGGATCGTGTTGTACTACAGCTTTGAAGCCCAGATCAATCCCGTAGTTCTTTGCAATGAGCTCGGCTCACTCGGATAAGCTGCGAGTGGTAAATTTGGGCCTAGATATGAGAGAATGGGTCTGTGCAGTAAGTGAGCACCATATTAAAAAGTCCTGCAACATGCAGTGCATAATGGGAGAAACAACTGTGACTGTGTTTTTGGCTTAAAATGACAACTTTATGGTATATATCTTTGTATGGTTGTTATGGTTGTATTCTTGGTTTCTTGGTCTCATTTAATAGAATGGAATATACATTACAGAAATAGATGATTTGATTGGTTTCTGGACAAAAAAAAACTTGAAATTGAGCTCAAAGTAGCGGAAATGTTCACTTTTTGCCAATATTCAGAGTACACAAATGACATCACGTTTCTAATGTGTGTCCATCTGTCCAGTTTGATATGCTTTTAGGAATGCACTAACATTTATACAGTTATTACAATAACAATACACAAATAACCCGCACATAAGAGAGAAGCTTACGACGACGTTTCGGTCCGACTTGGACCATTTACAAAGTCACACTAACCAGAAGTGGGGCAGGACGGCTATATATAGGCAGGAAGGGGTGGTGGTAGTAGTAGTTAGTAGTAGTAGTAGTAGTAGTACAAGAATGGTATATAATACCGACAAGATGAAATTAAGACACGCGCAACACCCAGGCATCCCTATCGTAGACGTTTCGCCATCCAGCCAGCCACTGGATGGCGAAACGTCCACAACAAAGACAAAGAGTTATTACAATAATGCACTAGTCTGCATAATGGTAAATTCTCTATTTTTTTGTGTGAATAAACTCTAAATGGAATTCATGGGTAATATTGGAGAATGCTGGGGACTTAACTTATGAACAGGAAATGTTATTTTAGTGCCAGGAATGTCTGCCTAGTTTATTCTGGACTCTGTTGAAATTGGCATTTCTTGAATTTTGTGTTAAATTGGCCAAATTACAGTTTCTGATGACTAGTGGGTAGTTGAAATAGTTGAATGGGTAGTTTTTTTTGTATTCAGTCGATAGAATGGAAATGGCTAAGAATTTGGTCTACTGGAATAATGTAGTATTTGGCCTAAAATTCGACTCAAATTGAGCAGAATCGCCAATGCGTAAATATCGCTGACACAGCAAAAGCATAATTTCGTCATTTTCCATCAAATTTGGGACCTTTTTTTTTTTTTATTACCTTCAAAAAAATATTCTCTACCATTTCATAATTTTTTTTTTTTTTTAAATTTTCCAACCCTGAGAGCAAGTTTGAGAGCAGGGGTCCCAACCCTCAAAGGATTATTAAAATGTAACTCAAATTGGGCAAAATTGCCCTGTGTAAATTGAGCCCAGAAAGCCAACTTTGGGCCTGTATAATTTCTAAAATTTTTATTTTTATCAAATTTCACACATTTGGTGTTACTACTTGAAAAGATTCTTTACCATTTCAGAAGAATTTTTTTTTTTTTTTTTTAAATCTTGGTACTGTCAGGTCTCCTAATTTTGTGGGTTGCATTAATGAAAGGGTATATTAAATAAAAAATGTAACTGCCAGAGAAGAATTCATTATTTAGTAGAATGCATAACACAGTAATATAAAATATCAGAATATTGGGAGAAATATCAGTGCTTTTTTTATTGTTTGATTGTGACAACTCCTAGGCTCTGTCCTTAGACCCATAGGTCAACATCCATCACATTTGAGACAGTTGTTGTCAGAACAAAGGTAGAAGTCTTCAGGAAGAAACTGGATCACTACCCACACCAAGTGCCAGTTTCAACCAGGCTGCAGGCCAGCAGGCTGGTAATCAACAGCCTGGTTAAACAGGTGAACAGGAAAGTTTGGCCTCAGATGCAAAGCTGAATAAAACCCTGAAACTGGTCACAGGCATATTGCAATTTGTCCCTTTCTTCCTCCAATCAAACCTGAATACCCTCACCTTGCTTGAAGAGTATTACATTGTGGGACTTTCTGTAATGTGTCCTGTTTGGTCTATTGACTTGGATATTATACCACATTTGAAATGCAAGCAATACTCTAAGTGTTTGTATTTCAGTTTGATCTTGATCTTGATTTCTGTACAGTCATGGGAAATCAGTCTTGATAGTGGCAAATTGATGTGTCTTAATCAGTATTGTTTTCCATAAGCTGGCAATTAAGTTGGGCATATAGCATTACAATAATTGGTATGGGCACTGTCCTCCCCCCCACCTCCCCTTACAGCAGGTACTGTACTATATCTAGTATATTCTGTACTTGTAAGTTTGACATCCAAGGCAGATTTGTGTGATGGCTGAACATCAACACAAGTTAGTTCATTTAACCCCAGGTAGGTTGGAGCACTACTGGAGCATATAAAAATGTATTGGAAAGTGTTTGTAATGGGGAACCAGAGTCAACCAGTCTGTTATATTAATTGCTTTTCTATGTGTGTGTATTATAAGCTTTTCTTCTATTTAGAGCCTTGTCAGGCAGAAGCATGTAATTTGCTACCTAACTTGTAGGGTTACTTTCTTTATCTATAATTTTTAAATTCTTGATAATTTGAATGTCGGCATGTCAAAGCAGAAAGCTTTCATCATTATGATGTGTAACCTATATCTTAAAATGGTGTTTTATGAATTGTTTGGTTTTAGGAGCATGCAGTTGGAATTATTACTATTTAGCCTTTGGAACATTTTATTTTTAGGATTTTAGATTACAGATCAGGTTCATAAAATATTTATGCTCTTCATTTTTATTTTTGTCATTGTCAAAAAAATCCTAGTATTTTGCTTCCACTCTGGCTCATATATAATATCCTTAAGTTTTTCTTTAAAATAGTTTAACAGGTATAACTAAACTTGACCAAATTGGTTTGGCTTGTAACAGATATGAGGTAGATGACTTCATAATATCCCCACCTTCTAATGAAGATGGAGGCTTCTTTCACCTCGGCTCTGGACGAAACCCACGATCATGGCTGCGCCGATCCAGTTTTGGCTATACTGACCAGGAAATGTCAATGTCTGTTGAGGTGTGTGCATTGCGTAGGAGACTACAGTAGTGTTGACCTTATGGGGATCTTGTATGTAAAGCTTTGCTTATTTTTTTCTTGAGTTTTCTTGCTTGTTGTTACAGTAACTTTGAGTGTTCTAATTGCCACTTCATAGTACAAGGGCATTTCAGTAAATAAGGTAATATAAAACTGCATTCAAAAGTTGCTCTTTGCTATTTAAATAAGCATAACACTTGTTTTGCTTCCTTGTTGACTACCTCTCATATCATAATTCCTGATATTGTGAAGATGGCTGTAATTTTGTAAATGGTAATGGATCAAGATTTTTCATCTTGAGTGAGTATTTGGATGTAAAAAAAAAAAAAATGCTAAATTATGAAGACTCCGCTATGTTGAGGAAACTGTTCTGGGTGTTGCAGAATATCAGCAAAACAGGTGCTTGGCTAGTTGCTCTAATAGAGTATGCTTCAGACTCTTAAGGGTTACGTTCCTAGAGGTCTCCATGAATTTGAAGTGTGAATTTGAAAGTCTAGTTGTGCAGTATTTCTTTTATTGACAGCAGTGTTTTTTGTAACAAAAGCAAGAGTTATAAAATATAAGGCCACCTCTTGCTGTGCCAGTTAAAATATTGTCCAGGTGTAGCTGGTGTAACAGTTTTTCCTGTTCAGTATTGAGGCCACTCTAAAGTAGTGTGCCAAAGTATCTATACCAGCTGCTTTTGATGGTACTAGTATCAGCAAAAACTTTGGTATCTTCTTATCCCTGCTCTGAAGTTAACTTACTTTTGCCCTGTTTGTCAGTTCACCTAGTAACTGGCCTTGATAAAGTTCTACATATAGCTAAACTTTCGTCGAAATAAAAGCTAGCTATGCAGCTTCTTTATCTTCCTGGCCCTGCTCAAGTTGAGACTCCTGTGAAAGTGTGCTTCATTAACTCCATATTGTCAGATGCTCTTGCTGAGCCACATGCTGTTCTTGCTGGTACAGCTTTTGAGAGTTCTGACCTATCTGCTCATCAGACTGTGTAAAAGCATTATTCCTACTGCTGTGCCTTCATGGACAGCATGTTATTCAAGCAGGACCAACTGCATGGCTTTAATTGGGTGTGAGTACCTATGTGTGCTCTTACCTACATTGATTATGATGTTGCCATAGTATTGTGTTCATGTAACACGTGTGGAAATGAGATGTGTACATCTATAGAGTGCAGATGTCCATAATATGGAAACACTTTGTTCATTAGACAAGAGAAGTCGAGATCCATTCTTGGCAGTGTGTTTTAGGACCAAGATCTGCTCCTTGTAAATCTACTCCAGTCTAGAGTGACATGAAAGACAAAGTAGTGTCATGCAGGCCATTGTTGGGAAATGTTCTATGTTTCTGTGCTGAGGCATCATCCTACACTAAAATTTCACTAACTGCCAATAACATCCATCTTTGTTAAACTTGTGTACCTACTTGGAATTTAACAAATAAGTCACTACTGGAGGGTGGTATAGGACCACCAGTCTGTGCCCACATGTGGCACTTGGTAGCTTCTATCTCTTCATTTCAGTGGAAGAAACCCTCACTAGTTGGTAATATGCAATACAACAAAGAGCAGCAGGCATGTAAATGATTGCTCAGTGCTTGATACTAACTTCCTTCAGCTGGGGTTGATGCATTGGCTTCATGAGGGATGGCCCACCGCAGTATCTAGTCTGAGGCATTAAAAGTAATGTTATGATATTATTATTGGCTGTACATTGAGCTCTTTTGGAATAAGTATCAACAATTACCTTTTGGAAGTGTCTGTATATAAAAGCTTGTGCTGGGGTGGCAGTGTTTATTCTGCATGTTTTTCCTTGCTCTTATTTTTGGCATGTATCCCTAATCCCTATTCTCTTCTAATGTTAGTGGTTCTCTAGCATTCAGTGCTTGAACAGTTCCATTGTGATACTATGCTATAACACCCACTGCTCTGCAGGTTTGTTTTCTGGCACAAAAAATTTAGATTAACAAGATCTTATAGGTACAGGCAGGCCATGCTTTACAGCATTTCACTAATACAGTGGAACCTCAGCTTACGAATGCCCCACCATGCAAATTTTTCAGGATACGAACCGTCGTTCGGTCAATTTTTTGCTTCGGGATATGAATGAAATTTCAGGATGCAAGCTTTCCCTTCAATGGAAGTTCCTTAAATAAATAAATAAATTAATTTATTTCTTTGCAAAGGTTACAATGTGTGTTTACATATCATAATACGATTGGAGCAAAGAAAGCCACTATCATGCCGAGGCATTTTGGGCAGACTTAACCTAATATACAGGTCTCCCTCAGCATTCGCGTTTTCAACTTTCGCGGGCTTCACACATTCGCGAATTCCCAGCTGCCAAATCATATTTATGTTGGACTTTGAAGTTGATGAACGACATTGATAGAGGCATAATTCCCTACAAAACTCTGTAGATATGAAGAAACGGTCTCAGTTGCCCATCACAATGTTCTTCACAAGGAAGCCTGCCACTACAGTCCCCATCCCTTTACCCAAGGTCCTATCTATGCTAAAACCTTGAGTAGTTTCAAATTTAGGCTGGATAAATACACAAGTGAGAGGGGTTGAATTTGAGTGGGACTTGCACGTGAGTAAATAGAATTATCGAAGCTTATTGCTTGGGTAGTGATTATTCTGTTAGTGGGTTGGATTTGTGAAGGACCTGCCAAGTATAGGCCAACAGGCTTACTGCAGTGTTCCTCTTTTCTTCCGTTCTTATGTTGATGAGTGGAACAGTCTGCCTAGTATGGTTATAAGGACATATGAACATAAGAGAGGAGGAACACTGCAGTAGGCCTGCTAGCCCATACTAGGCAGGTCCCTCAAAATCCATCACACTAACAGAATATTTTCCCAACTCAATTTTCAATGCTACCCAAGCAATAAGCTTTGATAATTTTATTTACTCATGTGCTAAAACCTTGGGTAGTTTAAAATTTGGGTTGGATAAATACACGAGTGGGTGGGGTTGGATTTGAGTGGGACTTGCACGTGAGTAAATAGAATTATCAAAGCTTATTGCTTGGGTAGCATTGAAAATTGAGTTGGGAAAATATTCTGTTAGTGTGATGGATTTTGAGGGACCTGCCTAGTATTTGCCTTAACCGAGACGTGGCACAGGAACTCGGCACAAGTGATCACAAATCAATTACTTTTAGCATTGAATGGAAGTATGATAGTAGGGATAATTCATTGCTGGTCCCAGATTTTCGCTTAGCAGATTACAATGGGCTTAGAGAACACTTATCTGTGGACTGGGGTAACGAAGAGAGCTATCAGTATGACAGCTTTCTTAACACAATACTTGCTGCCCAAAGGACGTTTATCCCATATAAGGAAATTAGATTGAATAGAAATGACCCCAAATGGATGAATAATAGGCTCGGATATCTTTTAGGACAGAAAAAAGGAATTTATAGGCGCATCAAAAGAGGTGAGGGTCATCTTATGAATCGGTATATTAACATTAAGAGGGATGTTAAAAAGGGGATAAGAAAAGCTAAATGGGACTGAAATTAAAGTTGCTAGGGATTCGAAGACTAACTCAAAAAGTTTTTTCCAGGTTTATAGAACAAAAGTTAGAAATAAGATAGGTCCCCTTAAAAATAACCCTGGGCATCTCACTGACAAGGAGAATGAAATGTGCTCTATTCTTTATAATTATTTTCTCTGTTTTCACTCAGGAAGGCATTAACAGTATCCCAGTAATTAATTTTTATAGTGGGCCTGATGATGATAAATTATGCAATATCAGTCGCTACCGAATTGGTTATCAAACAGATGGACCGGTTAAAGCAAAATAAATCACCGGGCCCTGACGAACTTTTTTCAAGGGTTCTTAGAGTGTAAAACGGAACTTTTAATATTTCTCTTCAAACAGGTGTAGTGTCTGATATGTGGAGGATGGCTAATGTAATTCTTATTTTTAAAACCGGGGACAAGTCGTTACTGTCAAATTACCGCCCAATAAACCTAACCTCAATTGTAGGCAAATTACTAGTCGATTATAGCTGATAATATAAGAAGCCATCTCGATAAGCACAGCTTAATTAATGATACTCAGCATGGATTCATGAGGGGCAGTTCCTGCCTAACTAATTTATTAACCTTCTTCAGTAAAGCTTTTGAGGCCGTTGATCATGGTAAAGAATTAGATGTTGTTTATTTAGATTTAGTAAGGCTTTTGATAGAGTACCACACTAGAGACTGTTAAAAAAAAGTAGCAGCTCATGGCATTGGGGGGAAAAAGTGCTGTCATGGATCGAGTCATGGCTCACTAATAAGAAGCAGAGAGTATGCTTAAATGGGGTTAAATCCGAGTGGGGATTTGTAACAAGTGGCGTATCACAGGGATCAGTCTTAGGCCCATTGTTGTTTATAATATATATCAATGACCTTGATGAGGGTATTACTAGTGATATGAGCAAATTCGCCAATTTCACAAAGATAGGTAGAATAATTGATTCAAATGTAGATGTTAGGGAACTTCAGGAGGATTTAGACAAATTCTATTCTTGGTCAGAAAAGTGGCAGATGCAGTTCAGTGTAGATAAATGCAAGGTTCTGAAGCTCGGGAGTGTCCATAACCCTAGCACTTATAAGTTAAATAATGTAGAACTTAGCCATACAGATTGCAAAAAGGACTTTGGGGTTATGGTGAGCAGCAACCTTAAACCAAGACAGCAATGCCTAAGTGTATGTAATAAGGCAAATAGATTATTGGGATTTATATCAAGAAGTCCAGAGGTTATACTGCAGCTTTATACATCATTAGTGAGGCCTCACCTAGATTATGCAGCTCAGTTCTGGTCTCCATATTACAGAATGGACATAAATTCGTTAGTAAACATTCATCGTAGAATGGCTAAATTAATACATAGCATTAAAAATCTTCCTTATGAGGAAAGATTGAGGACTCTTAAATTACATTCACTTGTTAGACGAAGAATGAGGGGAGACATGATCGAAGTGTATAAGTGGAA